GATATTTTTATTTGGTTTACACTCCTACTGTTTAATAAAGAGCACTGATGGCATTGTTTTGGGCACAATTAGTGAAATTGGAGCCATGGATGGACTATTACTTGTTTAAACAGTTGTACAATATTGTGTGCCCGTGCACCAGGCTGGCACCTACACTACTAAAATAACTGAAAAGGAAAGGCTGCATTGTTTGTTAAATGTCAACAATGTCTTGTGGTCTTAATCTATTTTTTATTTATTAGGGGGCCAAAGCACAAGTGTGTGGAGTCTTGCTGCTATTTTAATTTCAATGTTTGACATTTTAAAGATTTCTTGTGTTGATTTATTTTCTGTTTATTAAGGGGCCAAAGCAGCCAAAGCAAGACAGCTATATTTCTTATTTAATGTTAATGTTCAAGTTTAAAATTTTGTTTATTTAACCCTGTTAACAATAAATGGGTCAGTTTCTCATACCAACTGTTGTGGATCATTCTAACTAACCTGATTAAGTAGTTGTTCTTGTTAGAGTAATATTGCTTCATCAAACCTTTTCTAACATGACTGACAACAAAATAAGTGAATATGTATAATACGCGCTTGGATCGGATTGGTATCGGCCAAAACTCAAGGCTGTAATATCGGTATTGGATCGGAAGTGAAAAAGCTGGATCGGGACATCCCTAATATATAGAAGGTGCTTGTGATTGGGAAATTCAAGTAGATTTAGGGGGAAAGCTTGTTGTTCCCCAGAAAATAGTTTGTACCTGGCAGAGGCCTGACTTAGTGTTGTGGTCAGTGAGTCAACAGATTTATTTATTTTATAACAGTTTATTTCATTGAGCTGACAGTTCCTTGGGAAGACTCAGTGGAAGAAGCCTATGAAAGAAAAAAAGCTTAGATATGCAGACTTAGGAGCAGAAGCTGAGCAGCGAGGATGGAATACTAGGATTTGTCCAGTGGAAGTGGGGTGTAGGGGATTCATAGCAAGATCAGCTGTCTCGCTCCTGGGGGAACTCGGAGTGCAGGGACAGAGTTTGAGGAAGACAGTGAAGGAAATGTCAGATGAAGCAATTAAATGTAGCCAGTTTATCTATAAGAGAAGAAATAATGTCAGTTGGGGGCCAGCAGGGGGAACTACTAAACAGGGCACATAGCTCCTTGAGATCAGGTGGAGAGATCCACTTCCTCTCAGGAGGAAATCCAGGAAGAGGAAGTATTTAAGTGTGGGAGTGGCCTATTTGAATCCATTTTGTTTGAGACCATGCTGCAAGGTGAGTGTGTTTGCTGATCCTGTGAGTTTATTTATCTTCTTTAACTTTAGCTTATATTGTAGTTATGCTATGTAGCATGTGAAATAGAGTATGGTGAATGTGCTAGGAAAGGTAGTATCAGCCCTGTTTCTACCTGGAGCTCGCATGTACGGAGCCTGGGTTTGGTTGAAGGTGGCAGTGCTGTTTGGGCTGAGAAAGCCATGTGTAAGTAAGGTAAAGGAGGTTATTGCGTTGGTGCGGGGAGCAGTGAGACCTGGCATTAGGGGAGTGTCTCTGGGACGCTAGAGATCACTGTCTAGCCTCCTGGAGGTGTCGTGGGACCAACTAGACGAAACACTGGTGAAAGGAGGTTCCCACCCGATGACCCCAAAGACATGTTAGTTATCACTGCTCACTGGTCTGTATAGTTAAGCCTTGCCATAATAGCTTATCATAGGGCTTATGAGGTTATTCACTGAGTGCTGATCCTTTCTCTAGAGCACAAACTTCTTGTGTTTACTTGAATTGTGAATGAGGTCCATAGCCTTCACTTTACGCAGGCTGATAATGCTATAGAGTCTGGAAAATACCTGTTAAAGGGTGAGATACATCCTGATCATGACCTTGGAGTTACTAAAATGAAGAGGTTTTACTCTTTGGGAAGCATGGATATGGTCAAAGGTGACTAAGAGTCAGAGTAAATCAAGTTTTTGTTACTTTGCACCTCTCTGCAAAGTTGCCAATTAAACTGCCCATGAGAGTGGAATTTGTAACATTCCTCTGAAAATGAATTTTATAAACCACTGAGTGACTGAAATGCCCAGGTTCTGTCAACTGTCATCACAGTCCTGGATTTGATTTGTATATTTCTTGTGTAGAACCTGATGGTGGTCCTAGAAGGAAAGTCAAGGGGTTCCAAAAAACAGTTAGACTCATCCTGGAGAGAAATATCTTGAAGATAAACACGTGCAACACATTGCCAGCAAACCTAGCCATCAGTAGTTGACTCGAGATCCATCATCATGGATTCGTTTGGGGCAACATTTGACCTGGTTGTGGTGGTAAAGGTATGGGGGGACTGTTACACCCACAAACGTAATAACAGCCCACAAACGTAATAAACCACAAACATAATACAAATCTGCAGCTTTGAATGTAATAATCCGGCAAATGTAATAAATTTCCCACAAACATAATAGCAGCTGCCTACTATAAACGTATCACACAATTTTCCGCAAATGTAATAACTATTACATTTGCTGTAAATTATTACATATGTGGGAAAGTGAAAATCTAAACTGTAATAACTTCTCACAAATGTAACATGAGACTGAATAATGATCTTTGTGGTTGTTGTTTGTTTGTTTACTTATACACCTGCCAATAGTGATGCGTGTGTTGACAAGCAACCCTCAGGTCGGGTCAGAAAGTGACAGAGCAGCGTTCTGAGTAAGTTAGAAATAACTTACAGAAACACACACACACACACACACACACACACATACACACACTGGTCATTCCTTGTCAGTTCACAGAATTACTCTGTGGCAGCAAATATGTCGTTTAATTGGATTTATTTTATTTTATTCTGCCTCTTGTTAATACAGATTTCTCTGCAGCATCTGGCCTACAGTACCTGTTCAGCACCTCGGACAGCGGCGCTGCGGGATGGGTTGGCTCTCATAGGGGGTCAGGTGCAGGTTGTAAGGTTTAAAAACCATGGTTTACAATAACTTATCCTCCTCCACTCAAAAATGTGTTTTCTTCTTGTTCCTACAGATGAATGTTTGAGCCTCACTGTGCAGAATGATGTATGTGTGAGCTTGACACTCGAAGGCTGTTTTCACATTTATCTGATGAAAATGCTCATATGATTTTAAGGGCTAGGGCTACGAGCCTATGTTGGTGGCTTATGTAGCCTATGTTTGAACCATTTAATTAAAATATGTCTGCATATCAAAAGCCAAAAACTTGAATATGTCGTTCATTCTTTGGACGGGCTACAAGCATGATTTGTGACATCACAAATATTTTAGAAGCCAGTCATGGTCCAATGTTCAACTTACACAAGTGTGATGTGGAAACTTGAAGCCTCCAGTGCACATACACTGAGAATGGACTTAACAGTGAAACCTTTGGGATGGGCGGTATCATATATATCTTGAGATTTCAATGAATCCATTGATACCAAATACATCATGCTGGCTTACCGGGAAAGGGGTGAAAAGTTGTTCAAAAGTTGAACTGTTTTACCGTGAAGTGACCATCGCCTGCGCGTCTTCTTTGGTTTTATTGGTAGAGTTTTGATGCATACCCATACATTCATTTACTTGCGGCAACTATCAAATAATTCATATTCAAATAATAATAAGTGGATGAGACCTTACATTACACTTAACTGAAAGGCTGTTTATTTAAAGTAATGTAACATAATGTATCATTTTGTCTGGGAAATTTTCAGTTACCTACATGGCAATTCTCACTTTCCTGCATTCACATAGGCTACATTAATTTAAGTTCACCAGTCATTAATTATTTGCAAGCCTTTAATTGTCAGTGTTCAGACAGTCTTGGTCCATGTTACTATCAAAAAGTACACGGACCAGTCTTAAATCTTGAAAAATGTTTTCATTACTTCAAAGAATGAACGACATATTCAAGTTTTTGGCTTTTGATATGCAGACATATTTTAATTAAATGGTTCAAACATAGGCTACATAAGCCACCAACATAGGCTCGTAGCCCTAGCCCTTAAAATCATATGAGCATTTTCAGCAGATAAATGTGAAAACAGCCTTCGAGTGTCAAGCTCTGCACATACATCATTCTGCACAGTGAGGCTCAAACATTCATCTGTAGGAACAAGAAGAAAACACATTTTGGTGGAGGAGTGGAGGAGGATGAATTTATTGTAAACCATGGTTTTTAAACCTTACAACCTGCACCTGACCCCCTATGAGAGCCAACCCATCCCGCAGCGCCGCTGTCCGAGGTGCTGAACAGGTACTGTAGGCCAGATGCTGCAGAGAAATCCGTATTAACAAGAGGCAGAAGAAAATAAAATAAATCCAATTAAACGACATATTTGCTGCCACAGAGTAATTCTGTGAACTGACAAGGAATGACCAGTGTGTGTGTGTGTGTGTGTGTGTGTGTATGTGTGTGTTTCTGTAAGTTATTTCTAACTTACTCAGAACGCTGCTCTGTCACTTTCTGACCCGACCTGTGGGTTGCTTGTCAACACACGCATCACTATTGGCAGGTGTATAAGTAAACAAACAAACAACAACAACAACCACAAAGATCATTATTCAGTCTCATATTACATTTGTGGGAAATTATTACAGTTTAGATTTTCACTTTCCCACATATGTAATAATTTCCTGCAAATGTAATAGTTATTACATTTGTGGAAAATTGTGTGATACGTTTGTAGTAGGCAGCTGCTATTATGTTTGTGGGAAATTTATTACATTTGCCGGATTATTACATTCAAAGCTGCAGATCTGTATTATGTTTGTGGTTTATTACGTTTGTGGGCTGTTATTACGTTTGTGAGTGTAACAGGGACCATTCATACCTATAATTTTGTGTCAATGTGGCCAGTAGCTGTTGAGATATCTTTTCCTGGACTTAAGTGTTGGATGGATAGATGGATAGATGTCTTGTTAGCAGGGCAAACACAAATGACAGAAATACCAAAAATACATATAATGTACACTTTAGTTTAATATGCTGTCTGTCTGGGTAGAAGCATGCAGTCTAGCTCACCTTCACAGTGAACAGCCACTGGTGGTAGGTCTTGTCACTGCCTGTGGGGGGTTACAACAACAAAAGGTCAACAACAAGTAAGGTAGTTGCTGGGTACTAGCTGAAAAGTTAAGAAATCTAGTCTGGAATCAGATGTAAAACCACCACAGTGTATAATCAGTGTGTCACTGATTATACACCACAGTGTATAATCAGTGACACATACACTGTGTGTGTCAGTGTGTCACTGATTATACACCACAGTGTATAATCAGTGACACACTGATTATACACTGTGGTGTATAATCAGTGCATAAACAGTGTATAATCAGTGTGTCACTGATTATACACCACAGTGTATAATCAGTGACACACTGATTATACACTGTGGTGTATAATCAGTGCATAAACAGTGTATAATCAGTGTGTCACTGAGCCAGTGGTGTCCTGTCTGTTGACTTTGTGTCAAGGGGGTCAAACTGGCCAATCGGCCAGAACCGGCCTGCCAAAGGGTCCAATCAGGCCCACTGGTGCCCCTTTTCCACCAAATGAGCTCTGGTTCTTAAACCAGTTCTGTTCAGGATTCTTGGAACCTTGTTGGCTTCAGAATGTACTTGTTCTTTCCTACACTAAAAGAAAGGGTCATGTTTGGAGGTGTGGTAATTTATAGGTGTTGGGACCCCAGCCACATGTTTTAAACAATAGAGAGGCCTTCACAAAAGCAGTGAGTCTGAGAACAAAGGAAATGTGCCAGGCCATTCCTCAACATCTGCAGAGTTTGGAGAAAACCCTTTTTCTCCAGAAGAAGATGGAACCACTGAGGCCCCGCTTCCTCAACTGTGTCGACTCCGCCGATCCCCCTTCTGCCATGCCGAGGACAGCATCTTTCATCCCGCTGTAGGACGCTACAGCAGCCCCGCGCACTCATCCCAGAGCAACAGACGGGACACACGCTGTCGCACCGAGCAACTCAAGTATGAGAGCTATAGTCTGGGCAGAGACTTTACATTTATTGTGTGATTTAACTGTGACTATTTAACTGTGACTGTGAACTTTGAGGACCACTGTGTCCTTTTGATAATCTGATCACTGATTTTCTTTCTCCCTCTCTCTCTTTTACTAACATACACACGCATAGCATGCACACACACAAACACCTTATACCTGTGGTAAAGTCACACATTGCCCTGTGAGCAACTCCTTAAGAGTGGTTCGCCATTACCACAGTCTCTACACACGCACAGCTATTTTGTTAGAGCATACAGTGTGTTTGATCCTGCTGGACGCCATCTTGTGCGTACTTTAAAGGTGCACATGAGGCTAGCGGTTTTATGACCCATTTTCTTGCTCTAGTTTCCCGCCTCAGTACTTGGTGACATGTTTCACGTCCACCGTTTCCTCTTAAATGTCCCGCCTTACTCTTATCAGCACCTGGCGTGACATGTTTCGCGTCTACCATTTTAGGTCTTTGGTAACCCCCAGGAGGTCACGTCCGCCATTTTCTCTCTTCCTACCAGCTGCTCTTTCTCTCTCTCCTACTGTCTGTTTCCAACAGTCATTCTGTTGGTCACTGCTACTAATCAAAAAAAGTCATTGTCTTCTTTTTGCCTTGTTATATTTATCTTTCAATATAAACTTTAAATTGATTTGCCCTCAATGACAGTTTTTAATTATTGTTTTTTATCAAGGTATTGTCTTGAAGAGAGAAATTCTAGTATGGTGACAACACTATTATACTGCAAGGTAACAGACAGAGGCGGAAGACAATAAGAGACTTTCTTCTACAGCAGTCTGACAGACAGACTGATGTCTACTAATTAGATCAGTTCTGACAGCTCTGATATTACAATTACAATAGTCATGATGACTGGTCAGTTAGTGTCGATATTTATGTTCTATTATGTTTTTAGATCTATGGGATATCATAACAGAAGCTGGTGGTGATGCTGATGGTGACCATTCATAAGAGTAAAAATCAACAGTTACTGTAAAGAATGCAAATAATATCAGTAACTTAATGTCACAGTGTGTCAGATTTAGGGGGATTTAGTGGCTTCTAGCGGTGAAAACTGCAGATTGCAACCTGCTGAAACTTTCGGCTATAATTCCTTCAGTGTTTGTTATTCAAGAGGTTTTTATCAGGAGCTGATTTATCCACAGAGGTCTTTTCCTCTCCAAAACAAATGGACCATGTTTAAACCCATAAAAACACTGAATAAAGCAGTTTGTTACAAATCAGAGTTTTCCTGACACTGCTCACTGAAGGTGGTCTTTTAACTATGGCAGCAAATACAAAAATGTGGATGCCTTGACGGCGCCACTGGCCACGCACATGTGAGTTGTTGACGGTGACAACGTGTGTGTAGGCTTCATCAAGTGTACCAAGTGCAGTACGATGCTGGTATATGACAGAAAAAAGACGGGGACCTCGACACTTAAGAGGAACATGACGAAGGCTTGCCATGGGAAGAAAGACGGGAGTCAGCCTTCAATGTCCACATTCGTGTCCTTAAAAAAATGTCGGGTTTAAACCAGGCTCGGGCTCATAATTACAGTTAAAGGGACGGGCCAGGCTGGGCTCAGACAGAACATGGACATGCTCGGGTGGGGTCGGGCTGGATTTTTTGGGTCCGGTCTAAACTCTAATCTAGAGCCAGTGTTTGGTTTGTCCATTCTGGGCTACTGCAGAAACATGGCAGAGCAACATGGAGATCTCCATAAACTAAGATCCACTCCCTATATCGATATGAACAGCTCACTCTAAGGCAACAGTAACATGATTCTTATTTTCAGGTGATTATACAAAATTTGTTCCCAACACTGAGAAATATATTGAAGGCTGTGGGAATCACTGAGATGTTTGGCTTGTTCTTACTATAGCAACAGAGGTTAAGAGACAAAACAGGAAACTGAACAAATTGCCTTTGCATAGTTCGTTAGTTTTCATGCCAAACACAACACATTTATGTCTCCTCACTGTTTGCATGATCCTCATTTAAATGGACTGTCACAAAGTATTACTGCCTTCCATGCTTCCATGTCAATGGAGGTGTTTTACACAGTAACACATCACTACTGACTCACCTGCATATTCTCCCATGTTAATCTCCTCTTCAAAGATGTCACTGAAACCCTCTCCTGAGTTTAACAGGTCCAATCGGCCGTCAATGAACTGCAGGTAGAACCACAACAGGTATTAGAGTGTAAGAGGAGGTATGAAATAAAGGTGTGTGCGTGTGTGTGTGTGTGTACCTGTTTGAAGAGCTGCAGCTGAATGGCATTCTGGAGGAACTGTCTCATGGCACTGGAACGATGGTTCACAAAGGTTTCCTCATTAAATGTTATTGGCTCTCCCTGAAAAAACAGGTAAACACACCAGCTGTCACAGTACTGTATGACTCTAACACATTCAGCTCTCTCTCCCCACAGACACACAGCTCCTCAGCTGCCTGATATGGCTCGTTTGAATTTCCTACCTTTATTTGCGCGACTTTATTGGCTCATAATAACAAATTAGCTATGCACACAGTGCCCGCCTGCAGGCCACTGAGCTACACCCTCAAACAAACCTGCTCTGTGCAGAAGGAATGAAGAAGAAGTGGTTGGAATTTATTTTCCATACAATTCCTACACAATACAACCCAAACATCTTATTATGTTCCCTCTATTTTCCTGAGGACTGCTTCACAAACTGCCAACAGTTTACAGTTGGATTTTCACAGCGGTTACTCCAGAAAGACGGGGCAGTTCCCACTTTGTTGGGCAAATCTGGAGATTCGGGATCACAACCTTTAAGTATGCTTTATGAGTTGTGAATTTGTTGTGTAAAAACAAACTAGGAAGCTGCTACCGTGTGTTAGGGCTGTCAAAAAAAATTCGAAGTTCGAAATATATTCGAATATATATATTTTTTATAAGTTCGAACCTAAATTTGATAATGCCAATATCAGTAATGATTCATTAATACTATTAATGACGTCATATATCACGGCGAATCCCGTTCAGGCAGAAATGGCTCGCATACAAGCCAGGCCAGAGAGGGACGCAGACCCCCAAATTCCACCAGTTGCGTCTGTGCACGCAGCGGATAACTAGCGCAGCCGTTCTGCAACGGACCCGCATCCAGTGGAATTCCGGCGAGAGACGGAGGGAGAGGCACGGACGGAGGAGCCCGCTGCGCCAACAGCACCCACTGCGCTGTCTGCGATGTGTGACCTGTTCGGGGAGACATACAGGGAGAGTGGTGCACCTGCTGCCTCCCTGCCTACCCTTTTTGAAGAAGTGATGAAACGTTACCAGAATGAGACACCACTACGAGCCGGCCAGGATCCACTTTGGTGGTGGAAAACTACAGGCGCACTTAAGTATCCAAACATTGCGGTCAGAACGGGTGTTTTCATCCGAATGTAACATTCATATTGCGCCAGCAATAAGAATCTTATTTATATTTGTGTTTTTTGTTTTTTTTTAATAATAAAAAAATAAATAATAATAATAATAATAAATTAATAAAAAAAAATAGCCTAATAATAAATTTGAATATTATTCGAACTCTACTAAATTAATTCGAAAATATTCGAACTCAATTTCATGGTGCTTTTGACAGCCCTGCCATGTGTTGAAGTGTGCAGTAGATGGCTTTAGGAGTTAACATTAGGCTGTAAACCCAGTGCTTAGCTGTAGGCCTCGGCTAACTGGCTACCCAATGTTATTGTTTTCAAATGCTTTTGCTACTCGGCATACACTAAGTTACACTGCCAGCTGGGTGGTCTCAAGTAAGATGAATTTAATGGCTAAATTGTGGAGAATCTAAGAGAGCTAAAATGTGCAGCATGTCCATATTGACAAAAGTTTCAACATTTCTAAAGGTGATGCCTGATCTAAGCAGCTAACTGCTGCTAGCTCGAGCCATTAGCCGACAACACGACAGCAATCAGACCTGGGGTTGGATTAAGACCTGCACTTATTTGTCCAAATAGTGGCTGCACTCAGTTTGATTGTGTGTTTGACTGTAGTATGTTTGGTCTGCTGATTTTACAGGGGACAACACTGTTTAGCATTTTAGAAGTTGACTAGGAATGGGTACCGAAAGCCAGTACTATATTAGCCCTGGGGCTAAATTATCAAAGACCCTAGTATTGATAAGCTCTGATGGTATCGGTTCTTTTATCGTTAGTTTTACACATTTTGGTTTAATTCATTATCATTCTGCAGCCTCTCATCTGCGCTCTGTGCTGGGGCTGAACTCCTCCACATACACACACATTCACACACAAACACTCTTACATGACACAGTAATCGGTGAACAGTCGAGCGGCCCCAGTGGAAACAAAGTGAAGATGACTCGAAAATTACTTGCATTGGTGGCAGCTACACTCATAACTGTGAGTGCAATTAAACCTTAGCGAGTAAGAAGCCAATAATTTATCAATACGTGTTCAGCAAGCATAAATATGTAAACATGTAGACAGCAATATTTTAATATAACGTAACGCAACATTAGTCTTACATAGTAACAGAAGTTTTACACTAATAAGCTCAAACGACAGCTGTCTACAGACATAGTTTGACACTTATCTTAAAATTGGGCAGATACTTTTACAGTGCCTGGAAATAATTTAAAACACTGAAATGCTGTTTCCCAAAAGCTTCAGGATATATATTTCTGTATCACATGATCACATGCTTTTGAATTTATGTATATGTATATGTACAGTACAGGCCAAAAGTTTGGACACACCTTCTCATTCAATGCGTTTTCTTTATTTTCATGACTATTTACATTGTAGATTCTCACTGAAGGCATCAAAACTATGAATGAACACATGTGGAGTTATGTACTTAACAAAAAAAGGTGAAATAACTGAAAACATGTTTTATATTCTAGTTTCTTCAAAATAGCCACCCTTTGCTCTGATTACTGCTTTGCACACTCTTGGCATTCTCTCCATGAGCTTCAAGAGGTAGTCACCTGAAATGGTTTCCACTTCACAGGTGTGCCTTATCAGGGTTAATTAGTGGAATTTCTTGCTTTATCAATGGGGTTGGGACCATCAGTTGTGTTGTGCAGAAGTCAGGTTAATACACAGCCGACAGCCCTATTGGACAACTGTTAAAATTCATATTATGGCAAGAACCAATCAGCTAACTAAAGAAAAACGAGTGGCCATCATTACTTTAAGAAATGAAGGTCAGTCAGTCCGGAAAATTGCAAAAACTTTAAATGTGTCCCCAAGTGGAGTCGCAAAAACCATCAAGCGCTACAACGAAACTGGCACACATGAGGACCGACCCAGGAAAGGAAGACCAAGAGTCACCTCTGCTTCTGAGGATAAGTTCATCCGAGTCACCAGCCTCAGAAATCGCAAGTTAACAGCAGCTCAGATCAGAGACCAGATGAATGCCACACAGAGTTCTAGCAGCAGACCCATCTCTAGAACAACTGTTAAGAGGAGACTGCGCCAATCAGGCCTTCATGGTCAAATAGCTGCTAGGAAACCACTGCTAAGGAGAGGCAACAAGCAGAAGAGATTTGTTTGGGCCAAGAAACACAAGGAATGGACATTAGACCAGTGGAAATCTGTGCTTTGGTCTGATGAGTCCAAATTTGAGATCTTTGGTTCCAACCGCCGTGTCTTTGTGAGACGCAGAAAAGGTGAACGGATGGATTCCACATGCCTGGTTCCCACTGTGAAGCATGGAGGAGGAGGTGTGATGGTGTGGGGGTGTTTTGCTGGTGACACTGTTGGGGATTTATTCAAAATTGAAGGCACACTGAACCAGCATGGCTACCACAGCATCCTGCAGCGACATGCCATCCCATCCGGTTTGCGTTTAGTTGGACGATCATTTATTTTTCAACAGGACAATGACCCCAAACACACCTCCAGGCTGTGTAAGGGCTATTTGACCAAGAAGGAGAGTGATGGAGTGCTGCGGCAGATGACCTGGCCTCCACAGTCACCGGACCTGAACCCAATCGAGATGGTTTGGGGTGAGCTGGACCGCAGAGTGAAGGCAAAGGGGCCAACAAGTGCTAAACACCTCTGGGAACTCCTTCAAGACTGTTGGAAAACCATTTCAGGTGACTACCTCTTGAAGCTCATGGAGAGAATGCCAAGAGTGTGCAAAGCAGTAATCAGAGCAAAGGGTGGCTATTTTGAAGAAACTAGAATATAAAACATGTTTTCAGTTATTTCACCTTTTTTTGTTAAGTACATAACTCCACATGTGTTCATTCATAGTTTTGATGCCTTCAGTGAGAATCTACAATGTAAATAGTCATGAAAATAAAGAAAACGCATTGAATGAGAAGGTGTGTCCAAACTTTTGGCCTGTACTGTATATAAATATACAGTGGTGGAAAAAAGTTTTCGGACACCCCATGCATTTGTGAAATATTGCATTAAGAATCACTCTTAGGTCTTCAAGTGCAATTTCTTTTAGTACAGTCACAGCCAAAATACTAAATAAATCCTAAAAAAGCCATTAAAAACTTAAAATTGATTGGTTCCATAAAAATACATAAGAAATTTTGAGTATTGGGTCATTTTGGTACCAGTGATGAAGGTCGTTCTTTTTATTAAAAGACACAATTTTTGTTGCCAAGCTTCGTGTCTACATAAAGCCAGCACATTTGAAAGTTCTTCAGACACAAAAATGGCTAAAACAAGGAACCTAACGCAGGAAACACGCCTGAAGATAAAGATTCTCAGCCAGGAAGGGTACAGCTGCCGCCAGATAGCCAGGAAGTGCAGATGCAGTCCTTCAGCAGTTGGATACACTCTGCAGAAATACAGACGAACCAACAGCTTGGAAGACAAACCAAGATCTGGGCGTCCAAGGGTTTCTTCAGCAAGAAATGACCGCATCCTGATCCGCATGTGCAGGCAAAACCGCCGAATGACATCACAGGAGCTTCAGCAGCAGTGGTCAAACCAAACTGGTGTCCAGTGTTCCACCCGCACTGTACGTGGCCGACTTTTAGATCATGGCTTAAGGTCCTACAAGGCTATCAAGAAGCCCCTGATCAATGAGAGACAGAGGTTAGCCCGGCGTCGTTGGGCCCAGGCACACAAGAACTGGACAGCCAGGAATTGGAAGAAGATTTTGTGGTCAGATGAGTCCAGTTTCCAGCTTTATCTTCCTCCTACTAATGTGAGGGTACGCAGAAGGCCAGGCGAAGCATTATCTCCAGCATGTACAGTACCTACTGTCAAGCATGGTGGAGGCAGTATCATGGTTTGGGGATGCATGAGTGCTGCTGGTGTTGGTCATCTCACTGTCTGTGATGGCACATTGAACTCTACCAAGTATTGTACCATTCTCGAAACCCACATGCTCCCTTCTGCACG